AGCTTTTAATTTCTCTTTTCTTTATAAAAATTATCCCAAGAACTGTTGTCACATTGGAGCGAGTCTGTGTGATATAAGTTAATCCTGCCCTTCACTGGGAGGAGGAGGAAGCAGCGCGTGGTGGCACGGCTAATGCTGCTTCCCCTCCGCCTGCTCTTCCAAGTGGCCGACCTGCTCGGCCAGCTCGGAGAGGCCTTGGCTTGGCAGTCGAGCAGGTTGTCCTTCAGTCCCGTTATTTCCTGAGAGTGGGTAGCCAGGGTCCCGTTCATGTGATCCATGTAGTCCCACAGACTGCCCGTGTGTTTCTCCAGTTCGTCCCTGATGCCGTCCAGGCTCCCCATGACGGCACCCAGCCTGCCACAGACACTTTCTACTCGGGCCACCCGGTCATCAAAGTGAGCGATCTCCCGCTGCAGGTCGTGGGCCACGCTCTTGCAGGAGCTCAGGTCGCTGATGATCCTGGCTTTGAGTCGCTCCAAGTCTCCCTTGAGGTTCAGGACATGCCTGTTGCTGAAGAAGAGCTGGGAGCCTTGGTCGTTGATTTTCTCCTGGATGGAGTGGACCTCGTCCTCGATCTTCCGCTCGTGCTCATCCAGAGAGGAGTTGACGTGCATCATGGTGTCCGAGTACTGGGAGACAGAGTCCTTGAGCCCGGTCAGAGACTTGCTCACGGTGTTGAGGTTGATCTTTAGCAAGGTGATCTCACCTTGCAAAGCCCCTGACGCTTCCTCCTCGATTCGCCGCTGGATCTCCAGGATGGTGGCGTTCAGCTTGCGCAGGAGGTCGTAATTGCTGTCCATGCGGAGGAGCAGGTCCTGGTTCTTGTTCTGACAGTCTTCGATCTCTGTCCGGAAGGTCTCCACATCTTTAGAGGCGGAGGTGCAGCCCAGGGAACAAGTGCTTTCCAGCGTGATGAGGCGATTCTGCAACACCTCCAGTGTCTCGTCTGTCCGTTTCCTCATGCTAGCAAGCTCCCCCTCCAGCACGGGCACCACTGCTCCGTCCGTTCCCATGGCAGAACTGACATTGTTCAGCTCCCCCACGACGGTCATGAACCTGTCCTCCAGGGTCTGCATTTTGTCTTCAAAGGCAGTCCTCATGCCATCCACCTCTGCTACCACTGTACCTCTCATGTTGTCCTCTATACCAGAGCAGCAGCTCCCCGTTTCTCTCTCTGTAGCATTGAGTCTGGCTTCCAGGTCCTCAAAGCGCCCTTCAAAAAGGTTCCCTAGGGTGACAGTGGAGATTTCTCCATCCAGCCGTGAGTGCAAGTTCTTCTGGGACTCAGAGATGCTGTGGAGGCCTTTCTCGAGGATGTTCATGCGATCGCTGAGGTAGTCCAGATTACTGCAGCAGCTTTCCACCACCGTCAGCCCTTGGATCTGGGTCTCCAGCTGGGAGATCTCTTTCTTGATCTCTAACTCCTTCCCATCCAGCGTCTGCTGCAGCCGCAGGTTGGCCGCTTTCTCCTCCTCGCACTGCTGCCGCACCTCCTGGATCCGGAAATCGCATGTGGTCTGGATCTTCCCCAGCTTCTTCTCAAAGCCGTCGAGCAGCTCTCCACGCAGGTTACTCAGCCGCGTGTCCACATACTCCTCCAGCAGGTCGATGGAGGTGAGGGGCGAGGGCCGGGCTGACTCCAGAAGATGCTTGATCTGCCCATCGTGGTCCAGGACCATGCCGCGTACCTCGTGCAGCAAGTCTGCCTTGGTTTTCAGCACGTCGCTCACCTCCGTCACTTTGGTCAGGATCTCCCCCACGGGAGGGTACGTGGCGATCTCGGCTTTGTCCGCCGCATCCACCAGGCCATCGGGAATGATGCCAAAGCCCACCGTCGAGTCAGGCGTGCCGGGGCTGTTCATCAGGGAGCCGATCATCTTGGTGGTGTCCTCCTGGATGGCCAGCCGCAGGCGGTCCCCCAGGCCACTCACCATGGTGTGCAGGCTGTCGTAGGACTGGGAAAGGCGTCTCACCTCCTCTTCCAGCCGATCCAGGCGGTCCCCGTAGAGGCCGGGCAGCTTCCTGCCTGCACAGGGAAGGAAACGGAGATGGGACAGTCAGGGCTGGTGCTCCTTTAACTTCCCTCCTTGGCTACCTTCTAGGTTTGAGTCCTTCTCCATGCTAACTAACATTAACTGTTGCTTCCCTCTTGTCATTTCAGTGAAATATCAGCCACCCTTCCTCCTGTTCTCTACATCTCTTCCTAAGCTGATCAGGAAACCCACATTCCTCTTGGGATCAAACCCCCTGCTCCCAAGTCCAACAGCAGGTGATGAGAACAGCCCAGGCGAGGTACATCTTGAGACACACTCTAACGATCCCAAAATTCATGGAAAAATGCTTTAAAGCAATGAGGAAAGGCAATTTTGAAGTGGCATGTTTTGAAAGAAACTAGATTAGAAAAGCAAGTGATCCTCAAAGCAATCAAATGCAAGGTCTCTGACCAGAAAGCAGGTCACCCACTGCAGGTTTGCCAGATTCATGCCCTGTGCGGGAACAGAAAGAACCGGGAGGTTTGAGAGCATGCCGGTGGTGCGGTAACCTGGGGAGGTGAAGCAGGAGCGAGGTCTCACCATACTGATTCTTCTTTGGTCCTGGAAACAGGTCAGGGTGGCTTTTTGGATGGGGAGGAAGTCTGGGGATTGGAAACATCTTTTGCCCAGGAGGCATTTTAGGGCTGGGATGTTGGGGCAGGAGGCCAGGTTGGTCGGTCGGGCTGTCATGGCACCCTTCTCCCATGAAGCCCGGGCAGCACCTCCAGGCCAGCTCAGTCACTGTCTTGTAGCCAATCTTGTATCTGGGTCTGAAGAAGGTGCGGTACCTTTCCAGGAGAGGGGAGGAAGAGAGAAGGCAGCTTAGACAGGCAACCTCAACGTCAAGCAATAGAGAAGAGCGGGGCCGGGGGTCCTCTTGGGTCTGGGAAAGCTGGGCACACGGGACAGCCTGGCTGAGACCCACGTGCTTGCACCCACAGAGCATGACCCACCTGCTCCAAGAGCTCTTGCTGCACTGCAGCATTACAGTGCCTGTCCAGAGGCACATCTCGTTAGCCAGCACTCCAAAGCCACGTGCCCACCCTCTGCAGGACCGGACCATGAGGTGCAGGTGTGAGTGTAGAGTTCTCCCCAACAAGCTGGTAACACCCCCAGACAAGCCTGGGAAACAGCCCAGAGATGAGGAGAGACTCTCTGAGCAGAGCCATTCTTTATGTATCTGTGGTTTCTGGAGAGTCCATTTTGTCTGTTGGATTTTTTTTTTTTTAACCTGGGACTCCTGTTGTTCATTTAGAAAAGCAGCTATAAGCATGTCACTCTGGTCTCTGCCCAGTTGATGACCACTGCGACAGACGCCACACAGTTTGGCAACTTTTAGCCCAGGAGAGCACAAGATGAAATGATGGAAGTGATTCCAAAACCCCCACAAGCTCGGATCACTTCCAAGAGGGGTCTGGGCTGCTCGTGGGTGTGTTTAGCACTTTGAATTGAGCTGGAGAATTTCCCAGTGGGGTAAAAAATCCTCTTCTGAACTCTAATCCTGTTCTGAAGCCTCCAGGAGGGTTGCAATACCTTTGGAAAGGTATTTTCTCTGTGTGTGGAGGGCATCGGTTTGATGGGAAGCCTGAGTAGCTCCGGGAACAGAAAGAACCGGGAGGTTTGAGAGCATGCCGGTGGTGCGGTAACCTGGGGAGGTGAAGCAGGAGCGAGGTCTCACCATACTGATTCTTCTTTGGTCCTGGAAACAGGTCAGGGTGGCTTTTTGGATGGGGAGGAAGTCTGGGGATTGGAAACATCTTTTGCCCAGGAGGCATTTTAGGGCTGGGATGTTGGGGCAGGAGGCCAGGTTGGTCGGTCGGGCTGTCATGGCACCCTTCTCCCATGAAGCCCGGGCAGCACCTCCAGGCCAGCTCAGTCACTGTCTTGTAGCCAATCTTGTATCTGGGTCTGAAGAAGGTGCGGTACCTTTCCAGGAGAGGGGAGGAAGAGAGAAGACAGCTTAGACAGGCAACCTCAACGTCAAGCAATAGAGAAGAGCGGGGCCGGGGGTCCTCTTGGGTCTGGGAAAGCTGGGCACACGGGACAGCCTGGTTGAGACCCACGTGCTTGCACCCACAGAGCATGACCCACCTGCTCCAAGAGCTCTTGCTGCACTGCAGCATTACAGTGCCTGTCCAGAGGCACATCTCGTTAGCCAGCACTCCAAAGCCACGTGCCCACCCTCTGCAGGACCGGACCATGAGGTGCAGGTGTGAGTGTAGAGTTCTCCCCAACAAGCTGGTAACACCCCCAGACAAGCCTGGGAAACAGCCCAGAGATGAGGAGAGACTCTCTGAGCAGAGCCATTCTTTATGTATCTGTGGTTTCTGGAGAGTCCATTTTGTCTGTTGGATTTTTTTTTTTTTAACCTGGGACTCCTGTTGTTCATTTAGAAAAGCAGCTATAAGCATGTCACTCTGGTCTCTGCCCAGTTGATGACCACTGCGACAGACGCCACACAGTTTGGCAACTTTTGGCCCAGGAGAGCACAAGATGAAATGATGGAAGTGATTCCAAAACCCCCACAAGCTCGGATCACTTCCAAGAGGGGTCTGGGCTGCTCGTGGGTGTGTTTAGCACTTTGAATTGAGCTGGAGAATTTCCCAGTGGGGTAAAAAATCCTCTTCTCAACTCTAATCCTGTTCTGAAGCCTCCAGGAGGGTTGCAATACCTTTGGAAAGGTATTTTCTCTGTGTGTGGAGGGCATCGGTTTGATGGGAAGCCTGAGTAGCTCTCTGGTGCGAGGCCAGCCTGAGCCTCGGCAGGGGCCAGCAGAGCCCCGCCAGGGTTTACCGGGGCGACGCTGCGTGGTGTGCCCAGAGGGACGGCTCCTTGCACCTCCTCCTGCCCCCAGGCAGGGACGCCCTGGGAGGTTTCTCCATCACCAGTCTGGGCACTACAACCTCGATCACCCCACAGACAGCAAACACGGGTGCGAGCCCACCTGCTTGCCCGGTGGGACACGAACACCTCCCTCTCTGCTCTCGTTCTACATGGGGTCACCAGGAGCCCAGCGGGGAGGGCTCAGCTGCTCCCTGCCCTTCCGTGGGTCCTTCCCGTGAGGTGGCAGGGGTGGGACACGGCCCTGTCAGCACCCACGCTCCCCCCACCAGCCGAGTCAAGCTGCGCAGGGCTGAAGACAGCGTGTTTCTCGCCGCCTCCGAAACGCCAATGCTTTGGACCTGCCTTTTGGAAATTTCCAATCTGAATTTACCAGGGTTTGAAAATCCTGAAGTTTGTTGTTTTGCAACAACAGGCACAGTCGGGCCCTTGTTCTCCTCCAGCACGTCCAGCAGAAGGTCTGAGAGGAGGTGCTGCACAGAGAGGCTGCGTCAGGCACTCGCACATATCCAGTCGCTCGGGGCAGCACGGGGGGCCGAGCCCCTGTCCTCCCTGTCCCTGCCCAGGTCCTCAGAGCCCCCAGCCCAGGCTGCAGCCCCCGGGCAATGCCACTTCCACACAACTCCCGGTGTAATACAGCCACCTCCACATGTACTGCAGGGCAGGAGGAGAAAACAAACCCAAATCCTCTGTTCTTTGAATCACTTCAAAATTTCTCAACAACAACAATTCCCCAAAGGCACGGGACAGTTTCAAAACAAGCTCTTCTTTTTGTTATTCCTCTTCAGATGTTGATGAGTTTCTGCGGTTTTTCCTTCCTTCTTGGTGTGTATCAACCCGCCTGGACGGACCACGGCAGGAGACTGCTGCGTCCAGCCACAGTCAGCGGGTAGAGCGAGGATGAGGATGGCATCCAGAAGGCAAGGCACCTTCTCTGTGTCACACCAGCCTCCGCAGAGGAGCCCGGAGCCCTTCGACACCTTCAAACCCTTCTCCCCCTGCCCCAGACAGCAGCAAGGCAGCTGCACAAACATTAGCTGATAGCCCCAGTGTGTGGAAAAACCACGTTTCCCTCTCATGTGTGGATACAGCATCCGAGGCTGTGCAGAAAGTCCGGCTGCAGGTCCAGCTGCTTTCAGAAAACGCCCTGGTTTTGTTTGGAGGGCTGGAGGGGCCAAGCAGCAGGCACTGTGGAGATGTGAGAGGCTTTGGGGGTCTCCTCCACGACGCAGGATGTCCTGAAGTCCCCAGATGCTGCTAAAGCGCTTACGATGGGAAGAAGGCAAGAGAAGTCAGCGAGTGGGTCCGACGGCCCGTCTCTGCCGGGAGAGGCTGCGAGCTGAGCCCACGGCATCACCGGCACACGGCGAGTCCCGGCTGGTGCCGGTGCCGCAGGAGCGGTGCCAGGCTCCGTCGAAAGCCCCTCTCAGCCCAGTTGTCCCTGATGCTCGGCTCTGCTGCTGTCAGCGGGCCCGGGGAGGATGCAGGAGAGCGGCATTTCTGCACGGAGCAGCATCCCCAGCCTGCTGCAGGGTGGTGAGGCACAAAGCCCCCATGCCCGCCCTGCCCCGGGTGCAGCTCGGGCTGCGGCACAGCAGGCTGTTTCCCTCCAGCACTGACCAGGCGGCAGACAGTTTTGCAAATATTTCCTTCGGGCAGGAAGCCCTGAGCCATCCCCAGCCACGGGCTCCAATTCCTCCTCTGCTCAGTCAGGCTCTCCCCTGGCTGTCACCTTTCTGCCAAATTGCAGGTCTGTGACAAAATGCTTCCCTGCACACACGCACATGCAACCCCGGCTTCCCTCCCCCAGGAAAAACCCTTCAGCCCCTTCCGCTGCCCTCTGGAAAGCACGGACTGATGGTCGGCAGGGTGGCACGGCAGCTCAGGAGCCCGAGGAGAGCTGCGACCTGAAGCTGGGAGGGGACGAGAGCCGTGCCCTGGCATCCCCTGTACTCACAGCACTTTCCCCGGGCACTTGGGTCCCCAGCTGCACTTGTGGTACTCGGCCTTGACGTAGCTCTCGGCTCCGTCCTGCAGCGTGCACGTCACGTTGCGCTGCACCACGTAGGCACAGTAGCTCCTAGGGGGAAGGACACAGGACCCCGTCACCCCCTGCCCCAGCAGGTAGCAGCACCCCGGCTCTCCAACCCATCCCCAGGCAGGTCTGCCTGCCCTGCCCAACACTGCCAGCGAGGGCTTGGGGGGGCAGGAGCTGGGGGGCCCCCCCAGCCGGCACAGCTGCCAGGGAGGGGGCTTTGCCCACCCTGCCTCCTTGGGGACAGGGACAGCAGTGGGGCTGGGGGAGTGCAGGGAGTGGGGACGGAGCAAAGACCCCCAGTGCCAAGCCTGGTTGCTGGGTGCACAGGCTGGGGTGCAACCAGGGTACAACCCCCCAGCAGTGAGGAGCCTTCCTCTCAGTCCAGGTACCTCTCCTCTGGGTTAAGGGGGGGCAGCTAAACCCCTGCACCCTCAACACAGCTCCGCTTGCCTCGGCTGCGCTGGGCTCTTCGCTCAGCCTTGGCAGTGCCTGGCCCACAGCGTCCCTCCAAGCTGGTGGCTGCCCTGTCCTCCCCCAGCTGCGGTCACCCTGCAGGTGAGCCCTGCCTGAGAAACCAGTCTCGGTGCTGGAAACAGGCTGTGCCCCTGCACCTTCTGATTTTTTGCTGGCGATTTCACTGCCTGCAAGAAACCCCCAGGCAGATCTACAGTGCCACCACACTGCAGGAGCCTGGGTTGGGTGCTGAGCACTGCTGCTGCTGTCACTGTCACGGCTGTGTTGTCACTGGTGCTGAGGTCACCTGGAGCCAGGCTGTGCTGGGTGGTGAGACGGTCTGGGGGGACAAGCAGAACCCCACCAGCAATGGCAGCTATGGCAATAGCATCCCAGAAATAGCTCCAGCAGTGTCTGGCAGGGGTGGTCCATCCTCCTGCAGCTCCTGGAGTGCTGCCATTGCCAGGACCAAGCCCAAAAGCCTTCAGACATCGCTGTGGGTACTGTCACACCCAAAGTGTGATGCTGTAGTCAGCAGAGAGAGGAGATGCAGGCTGGCCGCTCTGCTGCAGCAGCCCAGCTCCCTCTGCCACAGAGGCAGGGACAGAACACAGGTCCCAGGCGGGACAGGGGCTGGAAACCTCTTCAGATCCCTTGGACGGGTGGTGCAAGGAGCAGAGCCCCTTCCCTCCTGCCATCACACCTGCAGCTGGGTGCCCCAGGGTACCAGTCAGCACAGACTTTCTCCTGAGCTGAGCAGCAAACACAGGCACTGAGGATGAGGTGGCTGGGAGGAAGGCTGCATGGGAAGGTTTGTGGGAATGCTGGTGGGACAGATGGAGGCCAAGGCTCTTCCAGCTGAATGCAGGGCTGCCGGCAGGAGCAGATGGGACTTGGTCCACAGGAGCAGAGACATCAGGGATGCGCTGTGAAGCAGGGATTAAGGGCACAGGGACGTGGCAGGTGGCAGAGCGGGAGGAGAGGAGGGCACAGGCACACAGTGCAGAGCCGAGGCAGAGCCGGAGGGTGGGCAGGGCAGAGCAGAGCAGAGGGGCTGGCACGAGCTGCAGGTGCAGGGAGGTGTTCAGTCAGGCAGGAGGACCCGGCTCTCCTGTGCAAGCTGGGGTTGCTGCGGCTTGGCTGCAGGGCCACAGGCAAGGAAGCAGCTGGGGTCCCTGGCATCGCCGTCACACGGCCTGCGGAGCGCAGCCTCGGGGCTGAGCAGCGAAATGAGCCGCAGGGCTTCAGCACAGCTCTCACAGGCTTGGCAGGATGATGCTCCGGATGCACCTCTGGCAGGTGGAGGCCAGGGAAGGGACTGGGACAGTTGTGATGGAGCAGAAGGGTTTGGGAGAATCAGCATGCACATGTGTGCATGTGTGTGCACACAGCCCCCCAGCTGTCACCCTCTGGGGACAGAGCAGCAGGGCTCTGGCTCACCCTGAGTGGGAAAGATGGGTGAAGAAGGGACAAGCACCAACAGCAAACACATGAAGACAAAGTACACCCACCCTCCCCGTGCCAAGACCCACCACAAGCCCCCCAGTGCCCCCATTCAGAGGCCCCAAGCAGGCTTCTCCACTTCCAACAGCTCGCGTGGGACAGGGGTTCCCTCGGTGAAACTGCAAGGTGCAACCAGGCTCATGCCCTCCCTCCGACACCCTCCCAGAAGGCACCCCCCGATAGGATGGGCACCGTGATTCCCGGCAGCGACCTGCATTTCCAGCCTGCCCAGAGGCTGCCAGGCACAGGGCAAGCGCAGGGACCCATGCTGCTCGCCGCTCCTCCAGAACTGAGTCATTTATCTGAGCACAGGGCCACGCGCGAGCGAGGGCCAGCCGCTTCTCTTAGCTGGAGGGAAGGCAGATCATGTGTGCATGTGGAAATTCAGAATCACTGTCTACCCATAAATCCAGGATCTGCTAACAAACACACTGCAAACCCCCTCTGTAAGCTAGCAGCCAACGTGGGCAGATCTACTAGCCACTACTAATAAACACTGCCTACCTGTGACTGCTTGGGTTAGGGTGGTTCTGGCTCGCTCTGCTTCTTAGAAACCCCTTTCCTTCTCACTCACCTGTGGCGCGCAGTTTTATAGCTCCAGCCTGATGTTTTAAGAGTGAGCAGCTGGAAAATGTTACGGGTTTTGGAAAGCTCTCACTGGCACTGCCAGTATTGTTCGTCTCGAACGTTACTTTATTCATTTCAGCTTGGTCGTAACACCACATCCTCCTTTCAGAGAAGCCCAACAGAAACGGTTCGAGCAAACTGGCAGGGAGGGAAGCGAGCCCCCCTCCAACGTAACAGCGTTTTTGCAATTGGATGGAAAAGAAAATGTTACGGGTTTTGGAAAGCTCTCACTGGCACTGCCAGTATTGTTCGTCTCGAACGTTACTTTATTCATTTCAGCTTGGTCGTAACACCACATCCTCCTTTCAGAGAAGCCCAACAGAAACGGTTCGAGCAAACTGGCAGGGAGGGAAGCGAGCCCCCCTCCAACGTAACAGCGTTTTTGCAATTGGATGGAAAAAGTCTACGGTACGTGTAAAGCCCGCATTCCTCCTCTGCCCGAGCGTTCCAGGTTGCTTGAACACATATTTAAACTCCAGCGAGTCTGTGCTTTACAAGCAAGCAGGCAGAGTCCCTGCACAGCAGCCCCTGTTTTCCTGCGCGGGTCCGTGCACCGCCGTGTCCCCCCCCTCCCCGCACGTCGCACCCCCACGTCACGCAGAACAGGCAGGAGCACCCCACAAACCCACCCG